GGACCCCATGTGGGACAGATGCATCCATCTGCTTTCCTGCAGGATTCCATGCACCTCCACTGATACAAAAACCAGAACATCCAATGTTACTTTTGCATGTGTTAGCAAACAGATATACAGGCTTTGTGAATGTCTCTGGAGATGAGATAAGGTCTGCAGAGGTAATTATTCCTGATTCTAAAAACACTACTGACTGTAATAAGGTTCAGATCCACCAGTATGAGCCAGATGGCAAAACACACCCTTAAGCTGCTGATTAAGCCTGTAATTATGTACCACTTGCCCCCCCCATCACATGAAAATAAGATATTGTTGGGATTTTGATTCTCAGCCTTAAAGTAAAGCTATCAAAAAAACAAAAAAAAAGAAATTTGCAAAACATCATAAGCATTTTTTAAACAACACATCAGTCCTCAGTGTTTCTTAAACCGGTTCTCGGGGATCACAAGGCAGTCAGTGTTTCTGCTCCCTCCCAGCTCCCAGCAAAAACATGGACTGTCTGGGGTTCCCCACGGACTGGATTGGGAAACACTGCCATGGAACTAGATATCAGGGCACCCTGCACAGTTTGGCCCCAAGGCTTGGAGATGCCTTAAAAGTGCTGGCAGGGAGCGAGCAGCCAGTGGACATGGAGTGGACTTCGTGTTTATTTAGGAACTGGCGTAACGACCAGCTGCCAGCCATAGTCAAACATCTGGTCTGCCATGCCATTTGGTCCAAGGACGAAGAGGCAGGGAAAAGCAGTTCATCATCAAAGGTCCTGCAGTTTGTCCCAGAGCCGTGTGTTATAGTAATATTCTCTCAAGATTGTTCTGCGGCGTTGGCCGGGCGTGCGGCGAAGTCGGAATGCTCTGTGTCTGCAAAATGGCTAGTGCACATGACCTCTGGTTTCAGCTGTTTTAACGAAGGTCTATTTCAGTTAAATTACTCATCTTAGTATGTTCTCTTAGTGCACCTTGTATGGACATGAGTTCAGTAGTCTATATGTACAGTATTTAATTATTTTTATACTTATACTCGTAGCAAAATGGATGGATGGACATTTCTTCTATACTTAATTCTGGATTTTTGTTTCCTAGGCAGGTTTTTCCACTAAAATGAGGAACTATCGTGTCAATAAATCCAAATTTTGGCCAATTCCCAAGAAATGTTTCAGTGTTGATTTACATGTGTGATATTAACTTCTTTATTTTTAACCTAGATAAGTAAGGGCCTACAAAGAACTGTACTGAGAAAATCAAGTTGCATATCTGAAGTCTAACCCTACAGAGAAACCTACTGTTGAATGGAAACCGACACGAACGTAGAGCTCTGCAAAAGGAGGTTTCTACACGCTCAGTCGAGGCTGCATGTATTTATTTAAGTGTCACGGCTGCCATTTGCTTCAGGGTGTGTAATATATACTCCTGTATTTGCACAAAGTCTAGGGCTGTCTGCCCCAGACACTGGCAAGACATCAAATAAATGGTGATAAAATTTAAAAATTAACACTTTTTCTTAAATAGATGGAGGCTCTTTGAGTGCATTTTTTGTGGGTGAAGCTATAATACAGTGATTAAGGCATACAGAGGTCAAAGGAATATTTGTCATTCTTGAACCAAGAATAGAAATGGAGAGATGATGCATGTGTGTCTTTTCTGAATAATGTACAGTAGCAGACCTCGGTTAGTCTGCTGGCCTCAGTGAGACTGGCCTCTGGTCTGGGTTTGCGAGCTGCCAGCACGGGGACAGCTGTGCTGGGGAATGCGAGAGAGATTCAGGACACGCGGCTGCTCCTCCAACAGAGGCGAGGTCAGGGGGTGGGGGGGGGTTAGGGTGCAGGCGGTCAGACATTAATTTGGGTAAATGCCTCCCTACTGCATCGCCCAGTGGTATCCCTTGTTACTGAGCGCTTGTGAATTAGGGAAGAAATGTGTCTGATTTCCAGTTTAAATGACTCATAATGAATTTTAGATCCTTGTTGTATAGAAAGGACCAGCAGCGTTAGCATAAACCGCATCAAGTATGAGGAAATGTCTTGTGAGTTTGCGTAGGATCGACCTTGCAAGAGACAACATGTCCTTTCATTTTGCCTGAACCTAGCTGCCAAATATACTGTAGGAGGGAATTTCATTCTTATAATTAGCCTATGAGCAGTTTAATTGCAAACTTGACTGGTTCCGTTTCCTCAGATTTCTGGTGGATGAGCTTGTGATTCCGGTGTTCTGAAGTATCTGCTCCATATTATTTCTGCAAGAGATGTGTCATCTTCACATTTCATTTATTCACAGTACATACTTGTGTTAAGGACAGAAGTGGGTTATGAGCCAATCAGGAACACTGAAATGTAGACGTTTCATACTTCAGAGTGAATATTTCCCTCATTATCATTAGTTAACTCTCGCTTTCAGAGTTATACTGCATATAGTGATGCAGCAAATTTGAAATTGTATTTGATAGTGATTTAAAGCAAAGTCAAATACAAGGGAGTGTTTCAACAGTTTTGAGGCTGTGATGGGGAAGTGATTGTGTGTGTGTGTGTGTGTGTGTGTGTGTGCGTGGGTTTGCATAGATCACATTTGAGGACCAAATTGTCTCCAAAGTGTAGTAAAACCTGAAATTTCCCTACTTTTGGAGACATCTTTTGAGGTCCTCATTTGGATAACCTCAGTTTTTATGAAAATCTGTGAATGCAATCAAAAAAGTGAAAATGTATTTGGGTTGGTTACTTATGGTTAAGGTTAGGGATGGGTAGGGGTTAAGGGTGTCGTGATTGGGATTAGGGTTCTTCCCCATTTAGATAGGAAGACCAACTTGTGTGTGTGTGCGCGCGTGTGTATAAACACCTGTTTTTTTGACATTGTGGGGACCCTATTTCAGGGTAAAAATGCCAAAAGTCTTGTATTTATTTTGGTTACTTATCGTTAAGGTTAGGGCTGGGTAGGGATTAAGGTCATCATGTTGGGATTAGCGTTTTCCCCCATATAAATGAATGGGGAGTCCCTACAAAAATATACTTACAAACCTGTGTGTGTGTGTGTGTGTGTGTGTGTGTGTGTGTGCGTGCGTGTAACAGGAAATCTCACTTGGCACTCATTGCTGAGAGCATAAAATTATGTAAATGTTTATAGGTCAGGTTTAACAAAGCCAGTTTTTTTCCAGTTGAAAATTTTAGCCACCATCAATCTCGTGTTATGAAGTAAAAATATATAGGAGTATAAAATCCTATGGCAGGGGCTGCTTATGTGACTGGGGGGGTGGTTAGAGTGGGGTTTTCCATTACTGCCAGCATGAAACTCGGGAAGGCCGAAATCCTGCCTCAAACCCCAACGAAGAACAGCAGCCAATGTGCTTTTAATCACTGCAGTATGTTTTCTACAGTGTCCCACAGCACAGTGCAGTGAGACGAAGAAGGGGCTGCCACTGTGTGGGGCAGCAGTCTCCTTCAAAGGAGCATCCATCAATTAGCCACTTTCCTTTTTTTTTTGGTTTTGTATTTCCACAAAGCATCTTTAAATTACTTTTCCTAAGTAACATGCACGTTTCATGTTAAGGTAATCAATGACTTAACGAAAAATCCGCAGCACTCGTTTTGAGAGAAGATGTAGCTGAGGGAAGCCATAGACCCACACACATACACACACACACACACACACACACACATACACACACACACACACACACATCTGTACCCTAGATAGCAGCCGCTCAGCTCCAGCCACTTGCTTTATTTATTGCGGTCACAGCTGTACTGCTTCTGACCACTCACACAGTGACAGAAATACAGGGCGAACTCCTTGTTTACTATTCGGCCTTCCTACGGAGCTAACGTCGATGAGCATGGCAGGATGCTGATGTTAAAATTGAAGGGTTTTATAAGAACAGGGGTTGGAATTTATAGGATATCTGTGGGTTGATGAGGGGAGCGGGAGCCATGACCTGAGCCTTTGGGTGACCTCAGAGCTCCCATGTGTGGCTCAGGATGCCTTCATTCACTTTGCATTTGTATGTTTCCGTGAAGACAGAAACCTAATCTTTTTGCTTTTTTTCGTCTTATTTACCCTGTAAAACGCAGGATGCGTTTGTTGATGCTTGAGACTTTAAACCTTCAAATTGAATAGTGGTGTTGGATTTTGGAGTTCAGCTCCTTGCTCTACTAAACGAAATCATTAATATTAATCTTAGAGCAATGCAGAACCTACATTGAATATCTAAAGTGAAACTGAACAGTTTCCCGTAAACAGGGAAGCAGTTTACATTAAGATGGAATCCCCCCCTTTGAAGCAGTTGGTGTTTCTGGATTGGGCAGTTATTTCATTTTGACGTAATGTGTCCCCTGGTTCATTCTGAAACCATATAGGATACTGTGGCTCTGCTCATCCCTGGGGGGTCTTCCAGCTCCTGTAGCTTCTGGCCTTTCCCTAATTGTGAGAATGGGCACTTGAGCTCTGATACTGCTCATTTGCTGAATTCTGCAAATGCTTCCAAACTGCTTTTGGACTGAACCAGAGCAGATGCGGAGATAAATCAAGCTTGCATTTTTATATAGAATTCTTAAAAAAATCCCTCTTGATGTGCTGAAGCGTGTGCCAGATCTCTTAGACTTAGCCAGGGTGTAATCAGGACCAGATGCTGCCTGTGTGTGTGTGTAAAGGGAGCGGCTGGGGAGGGGCTTGTGTCAATGCTGCTCTTATGCAGGCCTGATGAATTCCCTGGCGCTGCCATTCTGCTTGGCCATCTTTTGGGGGTTCAAGTCCCCGGCCTGGTAAAGAGCACAACAGCAAATTCATTGCTTGTATTGATTTAACATTCTAAAAGTAAACTTACAACTTCATGGTTGAATTGGTGTTAAAATAATAAAAGTAAAAGAATGTATAGGCATGCGAAATAGTTGATGCTATTGTCTTACGTGGGTGGATCGGTTTGAGTCATAACTGTCCCAGTTTTCGCATTCCTATGAAGGCCTGCCTGACTGGTAATGAGATCATTAACGGTGACGGTTCCTCCCTATCTCACCTTAGGTGTGCTGTCACTCCCTGCCCACTTCAGCCCGTACGCAGAGGCGCAGCTCGCTGGCCCTGAGGGCCAGGAGGATGCCCGTGCCCATCTGGAGGTGCACACCCTGGAACAGGCCCTGCTCGCCACATGTGTGGGCAGCATTTCCGAGCTCAGTGAGTAGGCCCCTCCATGGTCTTCCATGGTCCTGATAACCCTTGTATCAGTCTTGCTGTCCTGAGACTGGATCGGTGGTCAGTATTTGCTGAAGGGCCCCCTAGATAAAGGCACAGAGGCCTTCAGCCTGAAACAAGCCTCCCTTTGACCTGTGTCTCCCCCAGCATTAGTTCCGCCCCACCCCACACTCAAATCTGCATTTAAATCTTTCTGGCCAGCAACTGAACATGTAGTAATTGCTTCTAACTAGAAGCCCATCGTCCCACATCATATTCCACCCCCTGCCTGGTCTTTTTAGCCTCTCTTTCCTGACAAAGGGTCTTTGATGCCCTCTAATCAATGTTATCTTGCATCCTGTCAATGGCTGCTCTCATTCACAGGTTTGGTTTCTCTCTCTGACTTGATCCAATTTGTTGTGGGGTGCTGGAAGTCTTCTAATTGCATCTGGCCTCCCTGTCTGATTAAAATCATATTAAGAACCTCAATCTTCAGCTAGATGTGTACCATGAAAATAAATGCTTTTGTTGATGATAAAATTTCACAAACATTTTTGTAACAATTTTCATGGAGAAGTCTGTAAGTAAATATCATTGAGAAAATGCAGAAGCAGCACAGATTCATGTGTCTATCTAGCCCAGGGGTTCTCAAATGGTTTAGCCCCCAGTTCCACAGTATTCCTTGGTCAGTAATTAGTGACCCAAACTCACAGTAGACTGGGGAGGTTGTTCACTGGTGAGGTTGGTGTCTGTAAAAGTTGTTGGGTTTCTTTTACTCGCATGCACTCGCATGTAAATTGTCTCGACCCCTTGGGTCGCAACCCATTAGTTGAGAGAAACTGGCCTATCTGATGGCTATTTGGCTAAAGCCTGTAAAGAAAATTATTTTTAGTTTAGATTTCTGTATTCCATCCCCATGGTAGGTAACGCTTTCCATCTACATAGCTGCTCCGCATGCTTCCTCCATACCCCGTAACTGTGGTGGGTGAGCCCCGCGGCCCCTTTATGCTGCTGTCCTGACCTGCTCTGCATGCACCATGTTCCCCTCAGGTGACCTGGTGTCTCGAGCCATGCACCACATGCAACGCCTGAGCCCTGGCGGCTCCAGCTTCAGCCCAGGCTGCCACACCCAGCAGCAGCCGGTCTCTTGGTCTCCAGATGCCCTGCACACCCTCTACTACTTTCTGCGCTGCCCACAGATGGAGTCCATGGAGAACCCCAACCTGGAGCCACCTCGAATGGTCCTGAACAGGGAGAGGTACCTACCGAGAGGCCCCTTGTTGCACATGGGGCACCTCCATACATTGCTTCCACTGCTATACCAGCCTAGAGTGCCAAACGTGTAATTACTGATCCCCCGATCTTAGCAACCCATGGTATCCTGTCTATTTTAGTCAGTTCTGTGATCAGGTGGCTTGATTACGCCTCATGATAGAAACTAACAATTATTAAAGGAAATGAGGAAGGAAGTTGATGAACTAAGACACTCCCCCTGTAAGATACAGGTTTCCAATAGATATGTGTTGTCCTTGATTGCTGAGGTTCCCATCGTGGTACTTAACAGAAAACCCAAAATGGAAATATTTCTCTGTTGAGTGCCCCCACCCCCCCCTCCCTCTTCTCCTTGTATTCTTGGATTTTTAAGTCATTACATTTCTGAGCTCATTGGGCTCCACGTAGGGGTGGTTTTGTGATAACGGAATTCCCAGAGGTGACCACCACGGGCCTTGTGAGGTCACTGCATGTCATTAGGAGCAGCCAGTGAATGTTTGTCTCATGACTATAACCTCACTGAAGTAAAGCAGGAACTGAGGCCTTTTGTTAGTGTTGGGTCATTTTCTTGGCAGTGATGACTGATTGGTTGGGAAAAGCAAAAATGCGTAGGTGGGGCCGAATAGCAGTATTGTTTTGTAGATATAGTTTCATTTAGTCATGTAATGGTTTAATTTCTTTTAATTACAATTAAATATTGGACATGAAACTGTAAGCAAATTTTTATTGCTTTTTTAAATCCCATAGCATAATAGCAGCTTATGGGTAACTCATTTTGTCCTGTGGGGAAAATACACATAATGAAAGTCACAGGTTATTTGTTCATGAATAGTCATGTTTCATTTCTAAGCAACAGAAGGGCCGTATGCAACATGTGAACTATGTTGATCTGGAGGGAAAAAATGTTGGGGCAGGTGATAGTTTTGTAAATGGCTGTAATTATGAATGCTAAGCCCTCTTATATAATCATAATCCCAGTGTATACCTTCCAAAACACCTCTAAAACTTTGTTGAAAGAATGCATGTCTATACACTGAAGTGTTGCCAAAGACTAACAATACAACTTGCATTCTCAGCCAACTTTATAATCCCCACCTTTGACACAATAGGAGCATTTAGTTTAAAACCGTTTGTATGAAGGTATCTGAGTGGCTACAGGTACGTCCTTCATAGCTGTTGTTTGGTTCAACACGGTGATGCCTCCAACTTTGCCTGGAACAGGCCATCACGTCATAAACTTTTGCCGTCTTGGCATTTGCCGGTAAGCGACTGCCAAGCAGAGCGCAGGGCTCCGTGTTACGAGGCAGTACATGGAAATGGGAGCTGATCCACCCTGGAGAGAGTGCTGGTTTCTCTGGGCCATGAGAGGACAGGGTCAGCCCAATGCAGCTGCCAAACTGAACTTGTGTGGTCTGTAAAATGCTGCTTCTGTTTCCTCTGGGATAACAGATACATAATATCACTGCAGGGTGCTATTTCAAGCTTGTTCCTCTTATACTTTTGTTTTGAAGTGTGCCCTTCAATGTTTCCCCCCTGGTGGCTTGCAGCTATAACTAACATGGACAGGAGACATTCCATTGCTCAGTCCCCCCCACATCGTCCCCAGCCGGTGAACTAATATGATCCCGCGGCCCAATTCCCCACTTGGCTGCAGTCAAAGACACTTTATTAAGTGCAGAGTGATGTGGTGGGAGCTGGAGGTGTCATCGTTATGGCCTGATGAGCAGCCCCGTAATGCTGCGTAGTGATATCAAAAACATATCTCCAAAACATCTCAACACATGGGCCTCCTAACTTGCTTAGGCGAAACTCTTTTGTTTTGGTAAAAGTAGACTTGTAAATTTTCAGTAATTAGGAAATTTTACTAAATCCCCCCCACCACCACCCCCAACCTTGTCATTAGGCCCTTCTTGCTGCTCCCCCCCCTGATGGAGTGGATGCGAGTGGCCATCGTTCACACAGAACACCGTCGCAGCCAATTGGTGGACAGTGATGATGTGCGGCAGGCGGCCCGGCTGCTCCTCCCAGGCCTGGACTGTGAGCCAAGACAGCTAAAGTAAGGCAATGTCCTCCTATAGGGAGAGCCTGATCCCCACTACGGCCAGCCCTGCCGGAAGGCTTTGGCTCTAAACCCAGCACTCACTCCCTCGCAGGCCGGACTGCTGCATCACCTCCTTCAGGCGTCTGGACGCCAAAGCCGCCACGGAGAAGTTCCAGCTGGATCTCGGCTTCCGCATGCTGGCCAGCGGCCGCACGGATCTCATTAGCCAGGCCATCAAGCTGCTGGGGCGCAAGGGGGTTGACGCCATGGATGACCAGGTATGAGCTCTTCTTGGAGCAGAAGATGTGTGTTTCAAACCCTGAGAGTGTGGATGTAGTCCTGCACTTGGCTGACCCAGAATTCTGCACTGACTGTTCCTTGTTGACCCACAGGGCATGACTCCCTTGATGTATGCCTGCTTAACGGGGGACGAGGCCTTGGTTCAGATGCTTATTGACGCAGGAGCAAACGTAGACTTGGCGGTAAATGATCATCTTCCATATTTCCTCTGATGGGTGTCTTTTGATATTGGCATGCCTTGGTTTTGGTCCTTTTGACTGAAGGTTGTCTTCAGGAGATCCTGTTAGTTGACTTTCATCACAGTGAAGAAGTAGGAAGAAGGAATAGAACTGAATCAGGTCTATTGACCCATTTCTCAACTGTGTCTTTTTTAGGATGACTAACTTCTTAAGGTGTTTGACATGGCTGTTTGTTTCTGCCATGGCATCATTATCCTTATTTTTTCCATACTTAGGTTCCTGGTTGCTCTCCAGAGCACCCATCAGTACACCCTGACTGCCGGCGATGGACAGCTATGACGTTTGCGGTTCTGCACAGCCACATCTCTGTGGCGCAGGTAAGATGTATTAAGACACTAGAGTCATGATGCGTTGTGCTGATGAGGTGCCATTGAGGAATTTTGTGTTGTCATCGATAGTGAATTAATCAGACTCCGCCCCCATCAGGGTTATGCCAGCCACAGTAATCTTATCTTTGTGGATTCTGAGGCCTTAGATCTCTCATCGTTAATCTTTGTTGCAGTGTCCTTTAAAGAATGCATGTCATCACCCTTTGAGGGGCCTGTTGAACTGTAGCAGTTTTAAGCCAGGATAATTCATTGACTGAGTCAGCCTTCTTTGTCCAGCTCCTGTTGGATGCTGGGGCTCACGTGGAGGGAACGCCGTTCCGGAACGGGCCGGAAAGCTCGGCAGAGACTCCCCTGCAGCTCGCCTCCGCGGCAGGTGGGTCCATCGCTCCCTTCCCCCAGGATGCTCCTGGGGGGGCCAGGCTTAGCAAGCTGACCTTGCCTCTTCTTTAAGAAACAGTATGTTGTCAATTTGTCAGGATGACAGTTGATGATGGGAATTGGCATGTAAAGCCAGCAGCCTCAAGCTCGCCATCCTGGGGGTGCGTCAGGGATATGCGCATTTGTTGGGACTTTTCTACAGTGATGGCAAACTGGCCCCAACACAACTCTGAATGCTGCACACTTAACATCTGAAACATCTGTGTGACCCTGCCCATATGCCTCTCTGCCTTCAGGGAACTATGAGATGGTGAGCCTGCTTCTGGCCCGTGGGGCCGACCCCCTGTTCCGGGCCCAGGGCAGCCAGAGCCTGCTGTCTCCCTTTAACGAGAACATTAACTGCTTCAGTAATGCCGCGGCTCATGGACACCGGTACGAGGCCTGTCTGCCATTTTTCTGCCCACCATCATTGCACTTTGGCGTGGAGTTTTTCTTCTGTTGTTTCATTCACTTCTAATGTAGTTTGTTTTACATCAGTTTATAAATGTTGAGTTTTAATATACATCCCTCACATAGATGTGACTGACAGGGCTGTAGCTTCTTGGTTTGCCTTCAGGGATGTGTGTGAGCTTTGACATTGTACAGTGCAGTTCTTACACATATGTTTGTATCTGAGTGATCTGAGCTGTAGCTCCTTTACCTGACTGTGTTGCCTGCGTGACGTTTCAGGAACGTGCTGAGGAAGCTGCTAACCAGGCCTCAGGAGGTGGAGGCCGACATCCTGTCCCTGGCGGAGATCCTGGCCGAGGGAGTGGAGGGGGAGAAGGATGCAGCAGCCGGCAAGAGGCCGGCGCGGCAAAAGGGCCCTGGTCCCACGGTCGCCGACGCAGAGATTCCCAAACTGTGCAAGGCCCGCATGAAGGCTCTCCAGGAAGCGGCCTACTTCAGCGCTGAGCACGGCTACCTGGATGTCACCATGGAGCTGCGCTCACTAGGTACGCACTCGTGAACTCTCTCTGGTTTAAGGGAGAGCCTTTCTTCACCAGCATTTTCATTACAGTACTTCAGGAAACTGTTGTTGGTCTCTGTCGTAAAAGAGAAACAGTGGAAAATAAGGCAGTACTATATCACATCGCAATTATATGCCGCATGATCCATATATAATCACCAGGCCTTCATGTATATAAATTCGTTGCATTCTTATGTTTAGTAAATGTGTCAGACTATAAACTGCAAAAAGTAGCAGCACAACACTGTTTCTTTTCATACATTGTTTATCTACAAAATCTCATCTTTCAAAAGACATTGTGTCTGTTTCTGTGTTTCACTATTTGTGAAATATACGGGTGTTTGTGTTTCTGGATCCCTCTGAGTACAGATTGAAATGGGCCAATTAAGAAATTTTTTGTGCCTTTTGACTTGGTGTCTGCAAGCCGCCCCTCACCAGCATTTGTCCAAAGCCCCGCATACCATGCCGCTGGGGAAATGATCTGTTAGTGAGCATGTGCCGATGAGAAGTGTGGCCCTCACACTGTGGCGTTGAGGATGGGGGCATGGAAATGGAGTTGTTTAGCCTTCTGCCATCTCATATTTCTTTCTGTTCATTGACATTACTGGTATCCTAAGTCAGTGTTTCTCAAACCAGTCCTTGGGAGCCCCCAGACAGTCCATGGAAAGCTGGGAGGGAGCAGAAATGTCTGGGGGTCTCCGAGGACTGGTTCCCTCGGGTTCCCTCTTCATTTAATTGTTCCAATCAGCTTCAAAGGACAAATATCAGGGTAGTTCATGGCTGGCATTTTTTTTTTTCCTGATAGGTGTCCCCTGGAAGGGCCACGTGTGGCTGGAGTCCCTGCGCAGCGCCCAGCAGCAGTGCAGATCTGAGGTCATCCTCTCCCTGCTGAAGGACTTCACCAGCATGAAGGAGGAGGACTACTCCAAGGAGCTGGTCAGCCTCAGCGTCCCACTGATGTTCAGGATTCTCAGAACCAGCAAGGTGGGGAGGACCACATACCGTAACTGTGAATAATGACCAGCAATAATCAAGAAACAATCTGCTTAAGTGTTTCCTGTCATGATGTGAAAATCTACATCTGGTTTAACTTTATGCAGAATGAGGCTCTGAACCAGCAGCTGGGTTCCATCTTCAGTCATTGTTATGGTCCTGCTCCCCTGCCCAGTATCCCAGAGTTAAAGGCCAGTCTTTCATCACAACTAGGTATTTATTACTTACGCGTATGTTTTAGTTGTATAAGCGATGCTTTCATTTTTTAACTTTTATTTATGCAGTTCAGTTTAAGACTGTGCAAGTTATATTTACAGAATTTATCTTGTTCAGTTACATTTGTAGCTGAAACTCATTCATGCTGCTCTTCTACAACAGATTTCAGAGTAAAAGTTGAGACTTGAACACATGCATAACTGTCGGTTAGTGTTTCAGCATGAGGAATCCGTGTTCCATCTTTCTCTTCCCAGACTTTCATTTCTTGAACAACAAGGAGATGTCAGACGTGACCTTCATAGTGGAAGGGAAGCCATTTTTTGCCCATGGAGTCCTGCTGATCACTGCCTCCGAAAGGTGGGCAGATGCCAGAGCACTGGGGATGTTTCTGTTTATATCTTTTCATGTTGAAACGTGTCCCTGTAAAATGACTGACTGTGGTTTGTTTTTTCACACCAGCTTTAAGTCCCTGCTGGGGTCTTCCAGGTTAGATTCTTCTGGTTGCAGGGACATTGAGATCAGTGATGTAAAGTATGACATCTTTTATGTAAGTATCAGATAACAGCTTATTGGATAACAACTCTGTTCCTCCATTATGTGAGGATTCCTTGTGATCAAAAGCTCTCTAATCTTCTTGCAGATGATGATGAAATACCTGTACAGTGGTGGCCGGGAGTCAGTCATCAGCTCAAATATGTCTGACTTGCTAGAGGCAAGAGAACTTCAATGACTTGCTGTTGTGCTTGCTGTGCTAGGATGGCCGAATGCCTTCACTGCTTATGTGCTGGAACTCGGGCGGTATTTCAGTTAAAGCACTAAAGATTTAATGTGTGAGACTTTAGGATTGCCTCAAGTACCTAACAAGGACTTTTCTGATCCCTCTCTCCTGCAGCTACTGTCAGTGGCCAACTTATTTCAGCTGGAGACATTACAAAAACACTGTGAAATCATCTGTGCACAGAGAATTGACCTTGAACATGCTGTCAATATCTACAATAGGGCCAAGGTAAGAACAGGATGCACGGACACACCAGAGGTCAATGGTCAAAGCAGGTTAACTGTTAAGTTTAGGAATTAATGAAGGTTTTTTGGATGCAATGAAAATATTCAGACTGGTGCTGGTTAAGGTGAATGGCTGTTATGTCATGTATGTGGGATATGAGAGAAAATGTATATATTCATGCAACTAATATGAAGTAAAATTTTTTCTATGTTTTTCTTAATGCTCTTAGTTCAACAATTAGCATACTGTGAATTACATGTTGTCACATGTTAAATGGACGTATCCTGATCAGGTTCACGGGGCTAAGGAGCTCAGCGCATACTGCGAGTGCTACTTCCTACAGCACATGGCAGAGCTGCTGGAGAGGGACTCCTTCCGCAAGCTGCTCCTAGGGTCCGGTGGCCGGCGGGGGGTCGCCTCCAATTCCCTGCTGGCCAAGCTGGAGGCTGCCCTGGTGAATAGAATGCAGCAGCTCTATGTGAAGTCCACGGTGTGAACTGGTGTGGCCGGTGGCTTTGTTCTCCAATCACATGTGAAAACCCCATAACTGTCCTACAGCAAAGAATCCAACTGCAGTGCAGTTGTTCCTGATGATTTAGAAACATGCAGCAGGACACATTAGGACATGTACATAGGAGAGTGCCAATCTGAGACTCTGCTACCCTCTAGTGGTATGTTTTTGTCAAGGACACAGAACCATTAGTTGCCTACTTTTTACAAAAAAAATTAATATTTATTTATATGACCAAAGGTCTTCTCTTTGTGACTAGGTGTGTGTAAATACTTGTGTAAATAATCCAGAATGATGTGGCCCAGTTGAAATTTGCCAAACAGCTGAAAACTGCTTGATTTTATGTTTTTTAAATTTTGATTACATTGTATTTTTCATGTAAGTTTTCCGGGGAGCTGGTCCTCAAATGTAATATTCAGCAACATTAATTTGAAGACTTAATTTTGAAGTGTGGCTGACACTACGAGCTCACAGCAACCTATAAGTAGCTAAAAATCTACTTATAAAAATTGCATTCATTTTCATGTGGCCGATGAACTGATTGACAATTTACAAGTATTTTGTATATCTTTTAAATTTTTTGTAAACAAATGTAATTTATATATTAACTACTGCAAACTGTTTCTTTAGGGTTCTCTTTGTAGAGAATGTTGGCATGCTAATTCTAATAGCATTGTAAATTGACTACTACAGCAAGTACAATTATCTAAAATATCTTTTTTCCCTGTTGCAAGCCTTATGTAAATGTCCTCCATTTAAAACGATTTGTATCTAAACACTGGCAAATGTATCATCAAGTGAAACATCATGCTCTACAATCTATCATAGTTGGATCTGACTATTTATATGTAGTTAGTCTTATCTTCTGGCATATTGCCAAATTGAACTTATACTGTAAAGCATGAAAATACATTCTCAGGAAATATTTTCTATTTTTACAATCTCTCTATATAATTTGTTTAATGTCAGATGTTTGATAATAATATTGTTTTATTTTCTCGATTTCATTCACTTATGTACTGCAATGAAAGGCCTCTGCTGTTTTGTGTTTAACACTGTGCTTCTTTGCATCTGCATCTGAAGGTGCTGGTGAAGCTGGTTGGACTTGTGACTAGAAAGTAACCATTATGGTTGGCTCTTTGGAATATACTTGCAATTAAAGTAATCTGTGCTTGCTGGGTAAAAATAAATATTCTAGAAACAGGCATTGGCTTTCATTGCTGTTTTATGTCCTCTCTTATGAAAGCAATGTTTCTGGGAGAGGCCATGAATAAAGTGTAAGCATATGCAAATAAAATTTCTTTACCTCAGTTTTGGAACCAGTCCTTCTCCAGTCAGCTTGAAAGACACACGTTTGCATCAGTGATGGTTGTAGAAATTCATCAGGAAACAGCTGTCTGGCTGTATCACAGGTACTGGCATGAAGGAGCATGACATGACCCTCTGTTCTTTAAGAAAATACTGGTGCAATACATCAGACTAGAACACCAGAAAATAGCTACATTAAAAAAAATAAAAGACACTTCATAACTGCATGAATTTATTTGTACTGAAGTCGTTCACAGTTATGGTACGGGGGTGGGTTCATTTGTAGTTGATTTCCTGCTCAGTGTCAACTATTAAGTTGTACTTATCCTGCATGTTTTTTTTTTTCTTCCCAAGTACAAAATAGAAAAGATATCAATAGGTATTGCTTTATTTCTTGTAGTTTAAAATCCCTTTCCTGCATCAGCCACCTGGGTTAGTTTGGATGATAATCCCCAAGCCGTTAAGAGGTACAGTGTAGAGGAAGCATTGTAAAATATGCTCAGAGTAAAGGAGGGCAGGGAGAAACACTAAGGAAACGAAAATGAAAATAACGACAAAGGAGGAGAACAGTCAAAAGAATCAGGACGGTAAAACAGGTTAAGGCAAAGAGAAATTCTATGGGACAATTACATCAGTGTCATGCAAAGAAAACCAATGCTCAACATGCACACAATAATACAAGACTAAAGCCATGAGCAGGGCTCCCGTTTCCATGTGCCCATTGCTGGAATTGAAATATTTACAAGAAAAATTGAGAGCATTTTTCTTCATCTGTTGTACACACACAATGATATGAAACTGACAAACATCAATAGAAGGTCTCCTCGCAATGAGGCTAGTCTACAGTTTTAATTTACGGGTAAATTATTTATTTTAACATACACTACACATCCTCTTTTTTCATAAAACTTGGAAATAAAGAAATGCCTGTGGATGTTCCCTGGTTATGCGAAAGTAAGACCATGTAAATAAATAATGTAAACAATTTTCATAGAATTCATAATAAATAAAGAGACAACATTGGAATAAAAATCATAAATAAGGGAAGGGGTAAAAATCTCTGAGTTTGGTTGCAAATTGCCCAGTCACCGCAAATAACACTGACAAAATAGTTTACAAAGAAAATTAAAATTATTTTCTTCACAATGAGATGCTGGATGCAGACATGGCAACAAAATTTTCATTCCTGGCTTTACACATAAACAATGGTACAGCTAGACGTCTTTACATAAGAAACATATTCAATCTGTACAACAGAATAGATCATTCATTTGTGTGTCCCTCCCCCCCCAAAAAAAATCCCTCTCCTAGCACCATACATTAAAACCCTTAAACGTCTGAAATAATGATTTCAGTCCATTTGCAGCAATCATGTTTAGTCCAGCATGGTTTCAAACCCATTCACAGTCTATTAAAAGAAAAAATCAATTTAATTCAGCAAGCGTCCAAGTTCACCATCGACAAACTCCTGCAGTTCTCATTGTCTTATTTTATGCATTTTTTTGTTTGCGCTTCTAATCAGCTCATTCCTTGTTATTATACAGCATCCCAGAGTCTCTGGATGTGTCAGAGTTCGCTTATGTTATGGAGACATTATGGAAATGAGGAGGAACGTGGCTGAGAGGCTCAGTTTAAAATTCATCATTCGCATGGGGTTAGCGGCGATGGGAGGGTGGGTGGGTCCCCAGACAGTGCTGTTGGGGGCAGTTTGGAGTTTATGCATCAGAATGATAAGTGGTCCATTTCCTCAGGAACTCGACCACTCGCTGACAATAGCGTCTCCGCCAGCTAGCATCCATCTCACACCATACTTGGCGAGGAGCAGGAACTGAGCTCTAACAAGTTTTCTGGATAATTCCTGGTAGAAACAAATTCAGTTATCACAAATGTTAGCAGAAGAAGAGACAGACTCACAGGTGAAGTAGACAGAGTGCCTCGGGCGAAGAGGGGCTTTCTTACTGGGGGGGGGCAAGGGGTGGGAGGAATGCGGGGAGGTATAAGGTACGGAGTGAGAGCATCTACAGGTTATTCTCAAAATATTTGATTCATTTATGTATTTATGTACAGCAATTCAATAATACAAAACTTTGTCTATAGACAATATCCAAAGAAGGCTGATATTTACAATTTGTTGGACTCGGACTATCTACGCACTTGTACTGGATTTCTACGGATTTTATGGCCTAAATCTAGTTTCTGCTACATTGTTTTTCTTTTTTTGTTTTAAGGCTGCTCTGGTGTCCCAATAGATGTCACCATCTTTGCCTTGTCTTTGACTGCGGAGCACTTAGACTCCCCTCTAGAGCCCATAGTCATTAGCCTCGGGGTCATGTCTCTTGTTGTTTGAGGAGTGCTTGCTGGGTGTGCCCGGCGGCTGGGCCACCTGGCCGTTCTTCTCGTCTGAAAAAAGTTGTTTAATTACGTCAAAGAAGTTACTCAATGGGCTGCCTAGGTACAAAAACGGGAAGAAAAGAAAAGAAAAGAAAAAAAGAGAGAGAACAAACAAATGAATAATGGGATTCACAAAAGAGAGTAGAGTGATGAGAGGGAAGGAGAGCAAGGGTAAAAGAGAGACTCAAAGCCATATTCCAGACTGAAGTGCACAGCTTCTGCTCTATGTGGATCTAATTTTACATATGGACCAATTTCAGCCTTTTTAAACTAACTAATTGGTTTACAAAACTGGTTAATGTCCATAAAAAACCATCCTGTGGTTATAGATCTATGTGAAAAGTAACACAAATCGAATTTAATAAGATGGTAGCTGGAAATCTACCGTAAATGTTTGTTAGAGAACTGAGCTTAACTGAGCCGTGGGGGGGAGGCTTCAGAGTCTCAGTTTTACCTGGCAGCACATGATGTCCATGCACAAAGCTGAGCTGTGGGTGAAATCTCGGGGTCCTAATACAGCCTTTCCCAGAGATTTCAGCACTGCCCTTCATTGCCGAGAAATTTCTCCACGTCGAGAAAACTAAGGGACCTGAACTTCTTTGAAAAACACCAAAATGTATTAGCTGTCTAAAGCAAGGGCACTTTATGTCATACTGACTACCAGCCCGTTATACCTACACCATTTTTCCATTTTGAACCATAAGACTTTTACTTAAAAGGCCCTCTGTCTGAAGTGGCAGTTACAATTATTCATTACACAGGTATTGTTAGAGTACAGTAATGCGAAATAACTAACAGAAATTCTGACTAAAAAAGCAGGAATTTAAACAAGATTTCATGTATTATTTAAACTTTATGTTTAAACTATAAGCACATCAATATTGTATAAGTAAATCTCTGGGACAAAATGTAATTGGACAGTTAAAGCACTACCAACCACCACCACTAGGGGGCTGATTATCAAACTTGGAGATCTGACTGACATTTGTAACCTGGGGTTGATTTAGAAAGGGTGGAATTCACAGACCCTTTAGGCAGACCTTCATCAATATAGATCAATGAGCTACTTGCACAATATATGACTATTAATATGGTTGATAAATATTGTTATAATGTTATAGTGGTACAGTAGATAACCCTCCATGCTCACTGCACTTGGACCAAATGTAACTCCAGCTTTATCACAGGAGTTTCTGTACACTCACTGTGCTTCTGGATCTCTATCAAAAATAGACCACTGTCCAGTACAAATGATAGGCAAACATGAGCAGGTGATTCATGTTTTACTCAATGCCTTTAGAATGTAACAGCTTCTACCACAGAATTACAAAATTGTGATGGGAAAGCCTAGATGAGCTATAGAGTTCTGAGGGTTGAAAAGTAAGCACAGCAGAAGCAGCAGAATCTGCACTGTAGGACAGTGTGAGCTTTATGAATTAATCATGCACAGCTTGTAAAACCAGTCAGTCAGAATCAAGCTTCACACCCCACTGCTCCTCAGAAACAAGGTCGGGCAAATAAATACAAGCATGGATATTCATATGCTAATTGTTTTAAAATCTGCCTCAGTGTATTTCGCAATTCACTGAACCTCAGAATAGAAACACAAGGTTTTGAATGGGTGGATCTTAACATATATATATATATATATGCAATTGCTGTACTATAATAAATAACCTGCTACATGAACAGAGAAGTGAATCTACATATTTGAATATTTGTATTTAGATTATTTAAAAACTGATAGCTGCATTGATGTATCAAGTACAGTATACAAATCAAACTCTATCATTCTCTCATTTACATTTTTTTAACAGTAACAGCATACTATACTGATAATACTGGATCATTCCTACCCCACAAACACTGAAAGGTTTCCCAGTGCTACACAACACAGCCAGTACATGTCTTTAATTGAAAATCTCAGTCAGCTGACTTGATACCAATCAATGACGTCTGAGTGCCTGAAAGAATGAAAGCCTCAGCATTCACCAGCCTGCCTGCTTGTGCGTTTGCTAAATGAACCACAGGTGACATTACAAGTTTACAATTACTTTGCCTCCTCCTGTACCTTCTTATGTGGCAGATGATAAGACGCTTTTCAGTGAAAAGTATGACCAGGTTTCATGCTATTGGTTACACCACCAATCCTTTCATTAGATTTGACTCCTGTATAGTATTAAAAGAAAAAATCCAATATAATGTGAAAGATGAGAAAAGTGTCAGATTTAGAACTAGGAAATCATTCATTCACCATCAGCATCATCAACATCATCTTCATCCTTAAATCTGTTTCTGAATATTCTAATTGAATAGAGATACGATTAACTATCATTTCATGTGCTCACGTCTGTATATGTTGCATATTATAAGCTTATATTGAAATAAAAAGGAGAAATGTAATGCTGCAGAACACAAGAGGAAGTCCCGTGGCCCCCCGCGGCCCCCAGTGGCTGAATAGAGCGGAAAAGTGCAGGCTTAGTAGAATTTCACAGCACTGCTGAAGCTGATGGATTGCACTGTGGGGAAAATTATTTCAAAGGCGGCAGAAACTCTACCACAAAAAGCAATTTCTATGCCTGTGTTGGGGTCTGTTTGGATGTAAATTGAG